AATTTATTTAATTTTAAACTATTTTTTATATAAATTTTTAGACTTTTTTCTTTCTTCTTTTTGAAATTCGCTATATGTATATATTATATTGGAAATAACCGTGGCTATATATATATATATATTCCAATGATAACACCCAATACGTGGACGATCGTTATAAAAAAAAAACAATTTCCACCGCCCGCCTCCACAAAAAATTTTATCACCCTAAATTCTGGGGGGTTAATTATGAAAAGAGATAATTTAAATTGATAAATAAAAACAGTTTTGTTATATCACCATTAGTTTATTTTTTATCCCAAAAATGACAGCGACGAGGAGAAATTGTTTGAAAGAAATTATTCAACCCTTCCCTCAATTAAGTACTAATTCTTCCATAAAAATAGTCGTTAAAGCCATCGTTGAGAATGTCTCAAAGAAAACTGAAAGCCCGTAATCACAAGTGACGAGGAAATGATTGTAAAAAAAAAAGTAATATCGGAAAGAATTAATAGACAGGATATCGCAACGTCAGTGATGGAAAGCGAAAGGGGATGCCCCGGAAGTAACTCAAAATACTGTCCAGTTGTGCCATTAAATTTAACCCACATTGCGACGTATTTCGTATTTAATATTTTACAATCCCTCGCCATTCTCGTTTTAAATAATAATCGATGTGGTGGGATTATTGACTAGGTACACGAGGAGGATCGCTCGACTGCCAGTCACTCGTGAAACGTTAAACCCGACGAAAGTTAAATATTTTTTTTTCTGTGCGTCGAAAGTATTTCGACGGGTAATCAGTCCTTTTTTTTATTCAAGTGAACGTTTCAGTGAGTGAAAATTTCGCCTCGACAATTCGGTAATTTGTTCTCAGACTCAGGAGAAAGGGATTAAACGATTGACAGGTGGATGAAATCATAATTTCTACTGCTGATAAAAAAAAATCAATTTACAATGATCGATTGATTTATTTGGATTGCCTTTTCGTTCAATTTTTTATTCCGTTTTTTTTAAATCGATATGAATGTTTTCATTGGCGATAGCAAAATAGAAAATTGTTGACTCATAATTTTTATTGAAAACTTACGGACATGGATTAATCGACTTAATTAATCACACGTAGGATAAAATTGTTGATTAAACAAAAACGTAATTAAACAAATCCATATTATTCTACTTATTATTCATTTTATTTACTCATTTTTTATAATTCTAAAATGGAATAAAAATGGAGAATCAATCCACTAATTACAATTACAATTCCAATTAATCCATTTTTTTTCATTACCATTACTTTCTAAAAATTTAAATTCAATATAACAATAACAATAACAACAACAACACCAATAATAATAATAATAATAATAATAATAATAATAATAATAATAATAATAATAATAATAATAATAATAATAGTAATTATAATAATAATAATAATAATTATAATTATAATAATAACAATAATAATAATAATAATTATAATAATAATAATAATAATAATAATAATAAATTAATTTTTATTTTAATTTCGAATTGATTTTGAGTAATTGTCGAAGGAATAATGAGATATTGTAGATTGCAGTTTATTTTGGAAAGGATAATTGAAATCGCGGAAGGGGGTAGAGGTCGAGGGAGTGAAAGGGTGGGAGGTTGAGGGGTTGAGGGGGTGGAGTCGTGACCTTGATCCGGAGGGCGTCAAGAGGAACATTATGCGCGTGCACTGAGAGTTGGTGTACGGCTGGTAGATTTTTCAAGATTTTCACTCATGCAAATGTAGTCACCCTCCCCCATATCCTGTCACCTGGGCAACCTCTTCTAGGCCCTGAAACACAAACTCTCATTTTTGCATGTAACGATTTTTGCTTTTTTTTTTGTTTAAACAGGTTTTTTATTCAGTTTTTACAAACTCATTTAATTTTCATTTATACAGAATATTTATATTGATATTTATATCTCAAAAAAACAGGTACATAAAAATATTTAATGATATATATATATATTTGATTTATAATAAACAAATGATGACTTTTTGACGCTCGAGTTGAATGTTGTATTGATTTTTTTATTGAACGTTTTTTATTATTTAATGGAAAATATGAAGTAAAAAAATTTGGGAAATTATAAAATTGTGAAAAAATTGTCATTCTCATTTAGTGTGAGAGTGACCTTTTGCTTTTTAAATTTATTATTATTGTACTACAAAAAGATTTGAAATGCGATTAAATTTATTCTCAATAATTTCTTGCCTGTAACAATCACAAAATTCTCTCATCAAAAAACGATTTCTTTCCCTTGAAAAATCATAAGAAAAATTGAAGTATTAATTCCGATCAATTATTTATTGCAATTATCAAAATAGATTATTGCCGCTTGATGATAAAATGGAGAACGCATTGAAAATACGGTATCCCGAAAATAGAACGCAATCCACTTGCTCACGATAAAAAATATCTCGTGGTAATCATCAATTTCTATGCGAGAACCACAAAAATTTGCAAGTGATGAATGGGAAGGAATTTACTCTGAATTTTTACGACCATAAACTCGTCTAAAGAAAACATTCTTCTCTATTCCACATTTTTTTTTTCACGTTTCAGGATTAATTTCCATGCGGAGGAGAGTCCGCCATGGCCCCGGATTCTGGTGCGAGTTACTCTTTATCACGTAGAGTAACAAAACTTGTGACATTACTCCTTGTTTTTTCAATCACCTCAGCAACAGGTTTGTACAATAAACTTGCACCAAAAATTAACATTTATTTCGCGTGACAGGGGCAGAAATTTATGGTGACAGTCGAAATTTTGGTCGTATTTACAAATTTTTATAGTTCATGGAAAATGTGACAGAAATTTCCATTCGAATTCCATTTTCCACAGAAATATTTAGTAAAAATTACGGAACTTTCAGTTCACTTATCGATTACGGAGTCGATTCGAAAAATTTATGTGATGATATCGTAATTTTTCACTGATAATTCAGATAAAAATTAGGGAATACCGCAGAAAAATTTCGTGACTTCAGATAAAAATTACGTGCCAATTCCGTAATTTTTACGGTATTTTTCTTTCCGTGCAGAATTACGAAAAATACATGTAATTTTTATTGAATATTTCTCTCTGTGCAGGAATTGAAAAATTCTTTTAATTTTTAATCATTTTTAATAATTGGGAATAGTATTAATTCAGCGATTTTCCATTTATTTTATGAAACACGGGAATCGAAGAATTAAAAAAAATGTCGAAATTTGAGGAATTACAATTTTTGGAATTTCTGGGAAAATGCGACAGGAATTTCTGTTGCGATCGAATTTTTCGGGTATTTGAAAATTATTTAAATTAAATTTAATTATTTAAATGAAGTTAAATGGAAGAATAAAAAAAAATCTAGAAACTCTGTTATTTATCCAATTTTTTGGAATTCCAGAGGAAACAGCAGAGAATTTTCATTGAAATCGAATGTTCCTAGAATTAAAAAATTCTTTCATAAAACAATAATTAATAATAGTAATAATTCCCAAATTCTTTATTAAATTCTTGGAATAATTAAGAATAATTTTTTTTTTAATGGAAAATAGAAATTTTTGATGTCAAGATTTCCCGAAATTCAATGAAAATTCAATGAAAATTTCCGATTCGACTGGGAAAATTAAGAGGTGAAATTAAATTTCGAAGGTTGAAAAAAGGAGAGAATTGAAGGGATGAATTTCCGATTGAATGGGCAGATTGCATTGAAAATCGTCGCATTATCCCGATTTATCATGCGCCTCCGAAAAAATCAATTTTTTGGAATTCCAGAGGAAATAGCAGAGAATTTTCATTGAAATCGAATGTTCCTAGAATTTAAAAATTTTTTCATAAAACAATAATTAATAATAGTAATAATCCCCAAATTCTTCATTAAATTCCTGGAATAATTAAGAATAATTTTTTTTTAATGGAAAATAGAATTTTTTGATGTCAAGATTTCCCGAAATTCAATGAAAATTCAATGAAAATTTCCGATTCGACTGGGAAAATTAAGAGGTGAAATTAAATTTCGAGGGTTGAAAAAGGGAGAGAATTGAAGGGATGAATTTCCGATTGAATGGGCAGATTGCATTGAAAATCGTCGCATTGGCCCGATTTATCATGCGCCTCCGAAAAAATGAAAGACACGGTGGGAAAAAAGCCTGACAAAGGATAAAAATACGAGAAAAAGAGAAGTTCTCGACCAGTGGAAATCGGAGTAGACACGTTCGTCGATGCATCGTAGGTTTTTATGCTCAACCTGTCCAGCCCCTATCTCACCCTTTACGGAGAATATCCCCAGAAAAAAAAGGAAAAAAAAAATATAACACTAGTGATACTGACCTTGACACACTTCCGAGGGGGAGAAATCCCCGGAAAAATTTCAAAACGCTATTACGAGTGAAATAAAATGCGATAAATCTGGAGTTTGTCGAGTCTCGCTTTTTATTCCGAGAGGATGAGAAAATGGATCGGGAGGATTATGAAACAAATTTGAGAGAAATATATCGTGAGCATATGACTCGAACTGTTGAATTTAAAGGAGAAAATAGATTTTTTTTAAAGCGACACCGGATGCTCCAGATTTCTCCTGCACTGAGAAAAAAAAATCTTGATATCACAAAAAGAAAATTTTTCAAATCAGAGAATTTGTTGATGTTAATGGGAATATTATCAATTATTTTAGTAAGCATTGCAATTAATTAGTTTAAGAGTTAGTTATCAATTTGGATTAATAAATAAATAAAATAAATTCTTTCTGATTTTGTTTGCGAAAAGAAAAAAAATCCTATTGAAAAAAAAGAATTAAAATCAATGAGTTATAAATATTGATGAGACTATTAATAATTATTTTAAGTTAGTGTGATGATTTAAGTATTAATCATTGATTTGGAGCAATCGATCCTTTTTTTGGGAGTGATTGAGATAGAATTTCAAGCCATCGATTTTCGAGAATTTGAAGACGAAAAACCGGTGGATAAAACACCTGTCGCCTTTCACACTCAGAACAATAGAACAAGAAAAAAACATCGGATGCGCGAGGTGCATTTAACTCAGAATAAAACCCCATGAGTTTCTTTATTACCCGCGATGATTAAACTGCGTCGAGGCGGTTGCCAGTGGCAATTATTAGGCTCTCGCCTTCTGTAAAACTGAGAAAAGAAAACGGTTGAGGAAAAAAAAATACGAAAATAAAGAAGAAATAAAACATCAAATGAAATAAAATCGCACAAAGGGGCCGGAAGTCCGATAGCGTGAAAAAAAAATGGAGTAAAAAATAGGGAACAAAGAGAACGAGAGATTGAATTTTCGAGAAAAATCGGGGAAGAAAAATTTCCGGCTTTTGGTTTCACCCAGACGCATCTGTCACTCTGGGTCATCGTCACCCTTTTTTAGGGATTTTTTTTCCTTTTTTTTTTTCGTCTTGGCGAGGCAGAGGCGATTGCTCCCGTGAATAAATTGAATGAAGATAAGATCAGACGATCCGCGTAACATCTCCGTTTTTACGGGTGTCATGAAATCGCTGGACGAATTTAAAGAGATTTTTTTTATTGAATAATAGAGAGTTATGAGTGTCGCGATTATTTGGTGAATTATCGGTTTCAACTCCGAGGGATTTTGTTCCTTGTGATGGTGCATTAGTTTGGAAGTTAAAACGCCATTCCATTTTCAGGAAAAATCTGTAGGAATTAAAAAAAAAATCGTTATAATTTATTTGATCTTTAATTGAGAACGAGAACGAACGCGCGCTACAGCGCGCTGTAATTATAAAAATCGTGATTAAAAATTGTTAATTTAAATGAGTTCCAAATTCAAATTAGCCGCCTCAGATGACTGAACCAATGAGGAATAAGCGTGACAGAGTTTCGAGATATCGATAGTCTCGATGTTTATCCTTTTTAGGATAGGAATAAAAATTGTTAATTTAAATGAGTTCCAAATTCAAATTAACCGCCTCAGATGACTGAACCAATGAGGAATAAGCGTGACAGAGTTTCGAGATATCGATAGTTTCGATGTTTGTCCTTTTTAGGATAGGAAATAAAAATTGTTATTTTAAATGAGTTCCAAATTCAAATTAGCCGCCTCAGATGACTGAACCAATGAGGAATAAGCGTGACATGCTTTCGAGATATCGATAGTCTCGAAGTTTGTCCTTTTTAGAATAGGAAATGAGTTCCAAATTCAAATTAGCCGCCTCAGATGACTGAACCAATGAGGAATAAGCGTGACAGGCTTTCGAGATATCGATAGTCTCGAAGTTTGTCCTTTTTAGAATAGGAATAGGAGGAGGAAGGATTAATTGGCAGTCGGAAATTGATGATAAGCGGAGAAAATCCAGGAATTCCGGGGGAATTTGACAGTAAATTGTTTTGCTGTGAAAATTCGAAGGGAAAATCCGGGGAATCACATTTTCCCGTCATCAATTTAATAGTGAATCACCTAGAATGCGTACCTGGGGTCAGTTGACCGTGCGAAATCCAACGGTACCCCAAATTACTCGGTTGAATAGCTCTAACATTTACTCGTGAGACTTGCGGTTAATTTATAATTATATTTTTCATTCTAATAATGAAAGTTGATGACGCCTGAAATAATTAATGAGAATAAATATTTCTAGGATGTCAGTTTTATCCAGTTGGCGAGTACTTGAAGTTCGTGAGGGTTCCAGAAAATCTTCCTCTAGGTGCAGAGGTATTATCCTTGGAGGTCCACCCTCGCAGTCACTTGACGATAATGCCCGTTGATAAGGTTAGTCAGCTAAATCACAGAAAGGCATAAGTCCCCACTAATTATTGAGTAAACAACAAAAAATAACAAGTCCTAATTTTCTTCAGATCAGTCTTAGAGGAATATCTCTGAATCTAATGGAAATAGGAAAATCATTGTCAGAATATTTTTTATAGAGCAAAGTGAGAGCTATAAGAAAAGTTATTACGAAAATCTCGGTAGCTCTCTTAGATTCAGCGATATCACTCGAAATTCGTGTCTGACATGAATTACATTTCGCTTTATCGATTTATCTCGAGAGCTATCGATCAGACGTGATAATGTTACAGAACTTTTTTGTAGGGAATTCAATTCTGGATAGAAAAGGTCATACGATATTTTCTTCTAAAATCAGTGGTTTTTAAGTTAAATCCATATTTGATGAATCTGTAAAATTTTTCATTTTTATATTTTGTTGAAAAATTAATTACGACAATTTTATAATTTAATCTATAAACAGGAAGAGGACGCGCGATATTTCACGTACAAAGACCTGAATTCTACCCACATATCTGTGATATTGTCCCAATCTCTGGAGGACCTGGTGGACTCAGAGACACCCCGAAATCTCCTCAAGTTTCGATTCGTCTGTGACTACTCCGACGGCGTCAACTCCCTGGTGAGTCAAAAATCCCATCAATTCCATAGAATACACTCCAGATTTAAGAAAAAATTTTAAAAAATGGAAATTAAGGGCCTCTGGCGGGGCTATTTCACGGATCGACGGGTGTGGACCCATCGAGACAGAGCGATGAACTCATTTCAAGTGAGTAATGACTATTGGACGGACTAACAGACGAAATAACTAATCCATTATCTTGCCCCAGCAATTCCGAGAATCTCCCCCCCATTTTACTCCCCCTTTTGAACAAAAATTGCAATTGATTTTGCCATAAACAAAATTTACTGTTGATTATAATTAATATCGATCAATATTGTTTTATGAAAAAATAAGATATTGTTATTTGCGACGCGTGAAATTTGCACTGAATTCTTGAGCAATTGGCCTTGTTTCTACAACTGCACCTCATCTTTGTATTTACTTTCTGCACCGAGTGGAGTACCAAGAGTGAAAAAAAAATTTTACACGTGATGTACTTTCGAGCGAAAGCGCAAACGTGACGGGTGTATTATGAGATACGCACGTGAGAGTGCGAGCGGCGAAGAATTAGGAAAATTATATCGTAAATATAGAGAGAAAAAAAATGTACAAACACCCATTTGTAGAAGAGCGTGACTGAGTGAACTAGCGTGAAGTTGAGTTTAGTTTTAGTCTTCGGTTTCCTGGTGCATTGGAAGAAGATACCAGAGGAAGACCAGTCGTTTCCACTCGCAACCATAATTTCCATTTATGATTACCTGAATTTCCCGGTAACGGTATCATTAGATTAATTAGACAAATTGTTTTATCGCTCGATTCAAATCGCCAAGAGGATTTTCGCGTACAATTTTTTTTTTCATTTTTTCTTTTTTTCTATTTATGCAACTGATTTAATTAATTTTAATTCTACTTTCTTGCGTTTGAGAATTTATTTATCTTATTAAAAATTTTTTCAAGAATTTATCTACCCGGGTAAAAGAAAAATTGTAATCGGAATATTTTTTTTTAATTTTCAAAAAATTTCTGGAAAACTTTTCCGAATTTTTTTTTTGAAACAAAAAAAATCGGGAAACAAAACAATTGTATTTTTGGGAAATGTTTTGAAAAATTTTTATAAGAATAACCTTTCTCTTCAATTGACTCGCTGACCTCAAAGACCAAAAGATCGATGCAGATGTGCCTCCCCCATTGAGACCGATAATTATCCACTAAATAAAAATATTATTTTATGGCTACTAAATAATTGTATTTCTTTACAATAATAAATAAACCTCAATTCAGTGGTCTTGACGAGGTCTGATGAGATGTCATTGGGACCACTTGCATCAAGGAAATGTATGTTGATAGGGACGGTATAGAAGGGCTCTATGAGTTTGCTCGAAGGGCCAACATACTGGCACCTCTGGACTAGGCGACTGACAAGTGTAGAGTGCAAAATGGCTGGAAGGCTCCTTACCCTTTCCCGAACTTGAAGAGAATGTCTAAAAACCACTAAAAAACCTCAAGTGTTCAAACTCAACATCTTCATTTTGAGAAATAATTTTGTTTATATTATTTATTAATTTTTTTTCCAATTCTTTGTGTGAAATTAAAATTTTTGTGTGGGAATTGGTATTTAATTGCTGATTGATGGTGATTTCTAATTTTTTAATTTAGACATCGTCGCACCTGTCGGTGACGGTGTACGTGGAGGACATAAACGATCATGCTCCCCAGTTCATCGGATCGCCCTATCACGTGACAGTTGAGGAATTCACTTCACCCGGTGAGATTAATCAAACTCTTAATCAAACTCTTAATTCTTCGTATTGTTTTGGGTTACGTGATCCCGAGGGATAAGACAGCGTCAAGAAGTTTCAATAACTTTTCCGCTCTGTTAAATCCCAGTTTCAATCCACTCGCTGATTAAATCACTGAATTATGCTCCAATTTTGATCGGCAAAGAGTTCGGCATAATTGAAGAATCTAATTACAATGCGACAATTAGCGCTAATTTAAACACTCAGTTTTTTTTAAATTCATTCAGCTGATCTAGTGAATTAAATCAACTCAGAGCTGTCAATGGAGAGAATAATCATCGAAAATCGTTAATTATTTTCGAAAGAAGTCCAAAAAAAATTGTGATATATTTTAGGAATGACGATTTTCCGCGGAATTCACGCCTTCGACGGCGATAAGCCGAACACTCCGAATAGTGACGTCCACTATGCGATAGTAGAAGGAAACGAGGGAGGAAAATTCTCCCTGGAGTCAGGACATCGTACCGCCCTGATCCTTCGAAGACCCCTAGACTACGACACAGGGGATCGTCAATTTTCCTTAGTGATAACCGCCACGGTAAATTGAAAAAAAAAGAAAGAACTAATTTCCAAATAATTTTCAAATAGTTACATAATTTTGAGAATTATTTTCAGGATCGCGGCACTCCAGCGAGAAGTGCCAGCACAACCGTCACCGTCAACGTGATTGACAACGACGACCTTGGGCCCAAGTTCACCCAGAGCACATACAGAGCTAGGGTCTACGAATCCTTTCCATTTCCGGTGAGTTTCCACCCTTTTTTCAGCCCCTCATTCCACTTTACGATCGACATGCTGGCGCCAGTAAAAAGCTCTCCCTTCTAAATTAATCAATGATTGAAAAAGGTTTTTATGGAGCCGATGAAATCATTAGCTTAATAGAAATTCAAAATGTGAGTAACCAATACTTACACTTGAATAACTGCCATTTCTTTTAAACAAATGCTGATTGAAAAAAATCTACCTGCATTTAAAATTGAAATATATATTTAAATTATTGATATTCATTTTGTTTATCGCGTGCATTTTCTGGTATTTTCTGGTATTTAGCGAAAATACTGATGATAATAATGAATATTAATATCATATTAACGAGTGGTGGAATCCTTGAATAATTTCCTGGAATTCCCAGAAATCTCGTCTGCACAAAGAGATCTACTTCACGCCTTCGATCCACGCAAAGGACCAGGACGCGTCCATAAACGCTCCTCTGAAGTACTCGATAGTATCCGGAAACGAGAGAAACATCTTCCAGATGGATTCGCGAAACGGTTCCCTATTCCAGATTCAACCGATCGACCTTGAATCAGAGCGCACCCTCTCGAACAACACATTTCATCTGCAGCTGCACGCAACCCAGATGGACAATCCCCTGAAGTTCTCCAGTGCCCGATTGGAGATAGAGATCCTGGACCTGAATGACAACCTCCCGGAGTTCGAGGTGGATCACTACAACATCAGCATCGTGGAGAATCTCCCGAATGGTTTCAGTGTCCTCCAGGTGGTGGCGCATGATCAGGACCAGGGGATGAATGGAGATTTCACGTATGAATTGTTGGATCCCTCGGGTGCTTTCCTGGTGGATGAGAAGAGCGGATGGCTGACCGTCCGTGACGAGAGGGTTCTGGATCGCGAGAGAATTTCCCTCCTCCGGATGCAGGTGATTGCTCTCGAGAAAAATCCCACTGTGGTGCCCTCCTCCAACGGCAGCTCCTCAGTTCCAGTGGAAATAACTCTTCTCGATGCCAATGACAATAATCCCATTTTTGTTCCATCGAATGTCTACGAGTTCGTCGCTAAGAGTGACGCCCGTGTTGGAACTGTTCTCGGACAGGTGAAGGCCCTTGACAGTGACCTTGGGAGGAACGGTGTCGTCAGGTATGGCCTCCAGAAAGCTGGAAATAGCACGATTGTTCGGGTACCATTTACTGTTGATTCACGTACTGGAGTCGTTACTGTTGCTGAAACTCCAATTATCGTTGGACGACACGCAATATTTGTTGAAGCAGCTGATCAACCTGCCAATCCCAGCGAGAGGAGATTCTCACTTGCTGTTGTCACTGTTGATGTTCTCCAGAGCGATGGTAATGACTGAAAATCAAGCAATTGTACTCGTACTTATAATGCACTTCATGAAATCCAGCGGTCGCTCCAAATATTTCGATTACATGTGGAATTGACACGCGTAAATTTCAACTCAATTTTTAACGAACGCATTTGTTAATGAAAATTTATATAATAACAGACTTCAAATATCAGATCAGAACAATAATAAAATACAAATATCAATCCATAATGTCGCATTTCGTAGATAACAAAATTGTAACATTTGAATTTGTTTATGATAAATCATTAATTGTAGAAATTCTCGCGTATACCCAATTATTGTCATTTATTTTTATCTGTTATTTATTATCTTATTTTTCAGTTTGATATATTTTTTTTATCCTGACTCTGAGTTATTTTTTAATTGTAATATTACTAGTTCTTCCGAGAACAGAAGACAATTAATTTAAACAAATAATTCATTGATTAATGATTTTGACAAGCAACTGGAGGATCTCTTCCTGATTTCGTGGGTTCTCCCTATGAGTTCTGGGTGGGTGCTAATGTTCCGGTTGGAACGAGTGTTGGACAGATTCGTATCAACAGTGCAGCTGAGAAAAAACGTGACATCATCTACGACCTGCTCCACAGCTATCGCGAGGGCGGTAAGAATTTCCAGCAACTGAAAGACAAATCTAGGGAAAATTCCCGAGAATTTGACGAAAAATATCTGCGAAATTAACGATTGATTTATTGCAGTTCCCTTTGCTGTGGAGGAGCAGACGGGAACGATAACGGTGATAGACGATATCGATAGGTACGTCAGGAGATCTTACGATTTTGAAGGGGTTGTTACGAATGATAAGAATCTGATGCTCGTCACCAATGTCTCGGTTCATGTCGTTGATCCCAACGATGAGAGGGAACTCTTCACCAAGTGAGTTGCATTTTATTGTCTAGAATTCATTTTAGAATTTCATTGAAGGGGAATGAAAGACAGAAGAATCTCAACTGCGTTAAAACCCCAATTACGTCGTCATAAACTCGAGAAATTCCTCTGATTCAGTTCAACGACACGTGTAATAACGAGATTTAGCGTACGAAGGAAAGTGAAATTTCCCACATTGAAAGGGAAGTAAGTGGACCAACAGGTCAGCATGTACGCGGAAGTTGACAAATTCTTGTCAGAATAATAAAAATAAAAAGTAAATCCCGCAAGAAAAATGATGAATCCTGAATGTCTGAAAGTGGTCTTACCGGTTTTTCTGAATTCTTCCAGAGGCACCACCAGAGCTCCCCTCCTCTTCCACGTTCGAGAGAATCAAGCTGGTGCTTTCATAGGACAAGTACTACCCCGTAATAACACGAGAACAACCTCAAATGTGCGTTTTCTTATCGCCAATCAGCGTGATGTGCCTGATATCGCAATAACCGAGGACGGTGACCTCTACACGGTGCGGGGTCTCGATCGTGAAACCAGACAAAATTACAGTATCACTGTAATTGCGGAGACGACGAGGGGACTAGGAATATTTCAAGTGGGTAGTATAGATCGATCATTGAGATATTTTCCATTTCCGTTATCTGAAAATACTTTAGATCATAATTCAATGGTGTGGGATTCAATATTAATTCAATATTCCATAATTAATCTTATGGCTTAGTATTAAATACTGGCTTTTGACTTTTGTTGTTGCTTAGACGGTTCTGATATATCAGGATGTGTAATCAGTCTCTCGGCCATTTTACAGCCTGCTTAGTGCATCCGTCTAGTCGACGGTGTCGATAATCTGTGCCCTACGGGCAAAATCGTAGATCCCATCGATCCCGTCCCTATCGACGTGTAATTCTTGCATGCATGTGGTCCCGAAGATTTCCCATCGGATTTCATCTAGACCTAGATAAATAATAATAATTATTAATTTTTTTGTTGACGATTTGATTATTGAGGGATTAAATAAAATGGGAATGATTTGCGCCCTCAGGTGACGGTTGTCGTCGACGACGTCAACGACAACCCCCCGATCTTCTCTCAGTCGTCGTATCAGGGTCACGTCGAGGAGAACAGCCCTCCTGGGACTGAAGTCGTCTTGAATAATCGAATATCCACTCATGATGCCGATGACCTTCCAAACCGGAAGTTCAGTCTGCAGATCAGTGGAGAGGGCAGTGACCTCTTCACCATCGATCGAACCACGGGGAGAATCTTCTTCGGGGGCAAGGGCTCTAGTGTTCTTGATCGAGAGGAAAAGTCCACCTACAACCTGACGATCATCGCCAGCGATGACAGTAAGTAAAGAACAAGAAAAAAAATTTACTTCATGAATCGATTTTCTCTAAATTCTCTCTCTGGACGAATTCCCTGAAAAAGAAGTTCCGCTCGAGGAGACAATCAATTCCCAACAATTGCGTCATTTGCTTATCACCGATATCTTACCTTAAATTTCTTGCCGCTCAAATCCAACTAATGACAGCCGATTGCGCAAAAGCGACTGCCGAGATCGCTCCGGCGTAACGGATCAGGTCTACCTTCACCAGAAAAATTCTTTGCTGATTTACGGGTCTCGGTTTATCGTTTATCATTCCCATGAAATCACTGCGACAGTAGTTAACAACCTGGAGAAAAAAAAACTAATGCATTTAGCATGCAATCGATTTTTCAAAGATTATATCTGTCGATTGGAGAATTCACGAAAACGGGTTTGATTATTATCACTTTCAACAAGTGAATTCTAAAGCTCCAGTGATACCCGTTGGGTAATGGGCAATTCTAATACCCACCACGAGAAAATTAAATTCCAAATGTTTTAATTTTATTTGTAATTTAACTGAATGGACCCCCAACAAAGTCGATTCCTTGATCTAGACTTTTAATTCTGCCCCCAGTAAATTCAAAATCAACGGCATCATTGACCTTGAAAATAACCGACGTAAACGACAACGGCCCGGTGTTCACGCAGATGATAGTATCCCCTGACAAGGGTATAGTAGTCTCAAAAGAGTCCTCGGAAAAATCGAAGGACAATTCCTCGCATAACTCCCCCCTGCTCCTCATCCCTGAAAACGTAACTCTCGGTGCCGTGATAATCCGGCTACTGGCGAGTGACAAGGACGCGGGTTCCAACGCCGAGATAACATACGGCATTGCCAACGAGACAATCTCGCCACAACGGAATTCCGATTCAAATCCGCACTTCATCATCAGCCCAAGGACGGGTGAGCTTTCAACAGTCCGACAATTGCCAGCTGGACGCAATATTCATTTGACTGTAGTAGCTCAAGACAGTGGAACCCTGAATGATACGGTATCAGTAAAAATGATGATCGTTGACGTGAACGATCACGCACCAGTGTTCAATAAATCGTGGTACGCGTTTGATGTGATCGAGGGTATTTATGACAGGCAGACGATAGGTCGAATAACAGCTGTGGACGATGATGCGGGTGAGAATGCGAGGATCAGGTACAGCTTGGAACCGTCCTGGAACTCGTCAGGACTGCGTTTCGAGGTGGATGAGGCCAGTGGGCTGCTGATGGTGACAGGAGATCTGGATCGAGAGGTCAAAGATACTTATCAGTTGACAGTAATTGCTCAGGACAGTGGCAGGCATCAGCAAAGTTCCACAGTTGATGTCGAGATCAATGTTCTCGATAGCAATGACAATCCGCCTGAGTTCCACGGGTACACAGATGTTAACGTGGACAACTCGAAGATGATTCCAGTGTTCTACACTTCTGCCAGCGAAGACACACCACCTGGAACGATAATCACCAAAGTTTACGCGAATGACAGTGATTTTGCAGGGAACGGGAACGGCCTGATTCTGTTCGATCTCCCTCGGCTGATCGGGGAGAAGCAGTTCTTCGAGATTGACAGCAAAGACGGCACTGTCATGACAATCGCTGAGTTAGATTACGAGCGTCAGAGCCTCCACAACGTCACGATCACCGTCAGGGATCTCGGGGAACCCAGCCTGACTGCCACAGCTCTCCTGTTCGTCAGGGTTCTTGATGTTCCAGATGTTCCAGATGTTCCGGACAAAACGACACACGACAGACCGGTGTTCCAGCATCGCTACTACGAAGTTGAGATCGAGGAGAACTCTGTGGTACCCCTGAAACTTATCCAGCTGAATGTCTCGGAGGTTTACTCCCAGGAGAGGATGAGGTACGCGATTGTCTCGAATGACTCGGAGATTCTCGATTTATTTGGGATTCATCCTGATAATGGTACCCTGGTACTGAAGAGAAATGTTGACAGGGAGTTCAGGGATAGGTATCAGTTCAGGGTGAAGGTCGATTGGGGGAAAACTGGGAGGGGAATGCCGGTGATGATTTATCCGGTTGGTGGGGAGAGGCTTGGGGGGCTGGGGGTCAACGAGGCGAGGGTTGTCGTCAGAGTTAAGGATGCAAATGATAATGCACCTAGGTTCAGGAACAAGGGGAGACCCCTGCTCGCAGCTATTCCAGCCAATGTTCAGTACGGCCACGAAATCATCAAGGTTGAGGTCAGTTTGATGTTCATAATTATTCTAAAAAATTCTATTCCTTTTTCTGTCGTTTATTGAGGGAAGATTTTATTTCAAGTATTTTTTTGTGAATAAAATTGAGAATATTTTTTTGGAAAATATGATCAGCCAATAAAACGTCAACTTGGCAAAATGTTTTCACAAAAGTTCTTTTGTGATTTTTTCATATTCCTTTTTCTGTTGTTTATTGAGGGTAGATTAAATAGAGGATTAAGGCCCGGGTGGACTATCTATCGAACGTCTACTTCTATTTAAATTTCATCTTCTTAACCTAAAATACATTAAAATTTGGGATTAATTTTGTGTTGCGGGAAGCACTTGAATGGACATGAAAAAATAATGAAAAGAAAAGAGGAAAAATTATTGAAGGGCGCTAAAGATCGATATTATTTAAAAGGGATTTACCAAGTTTACTAAAAAATAATAAAAAATACGCAGCTTACTATTCATCTAGCATCTAGCTATCACTCAATCTTCTGGAGAGCAATGGTAAGCTGCGTAATTTTTATTATTTTTTTGTAAACTTGGTAGATCCCTTTTAAACAATATCGCTCTTTAGCGCCCTTCAATAATTGTTCCTCTTTTTTTTCATTATTTTTTTATAACCATTCGAGTAGCTCCAGCAACACAAATTCGATCCCAAATTTTAATGTATTTTAGGTTAAAAAGATAAGATTTAAACAAAAGATGACATTCGATAGATAGTCCTCCCTGGCCTTAATGAAAAATTAAAGGGGTAATGATTGATTTATGATGAATAGTCGTGTTAACGATCTGTGCATTTAATTTCTATGAAATGTAACGATTCATTGGACCTTGTGATAAAAATCATGACGAGTACAAGGAATTATTAACCGTAGGCAGACGACCCTGATGAGGGAATAAACGGTGAAATAAGATACCAAATCCTTGGACAGGAGAATTCACCGCGTTTTGCCATTGACCCACTTAGTGGTCAAGTGCGATCTGTAGCTAGTTTTTCGAGGGATGCTGGTAGAGTTTTTGGGTTTGATGTCAAGGCTACCGACAGAGGAGGGGCTGATAATGGAAGAAGCAGTATAGCAAACGTTTTTGTGAGTTCAACTCATCAGTCCATAATAAAATCTATCAAAAACCCATCAATAATTATTGTTATTTATCCAGGTGTACGTCGTTGACGATAATAAACAGGTGGTGCTCGTCATGGGAACGAAACCGACGGAAATTGAGAATCAAGTCGAGGAGATCACTGGGTGAGTGAACAATCCATGAAATTCTCGTTTATCTTTCCTGAGTCGAGAATGATTAAACGCTCTTCGAGAATCCTTTCGCCGATGAGTTTTTTTTTCTTTTTTATTTGTTTCTAGTGCACTGCAGAACGTCACGGGACTGGACGTCAGGGTGAGAAAGTTGGAGCCACACATTGAGAAGAATCTGATCGACACCACCTCGTAAGTAAATGATTAATGGTACTATCATATTTTCCATCGATAATTCACGTCCAAACGTTTTCTCAGCACTGACTTGTATCTCTACGCCGTTGATCCACATCTCAACTCCATGATCGACATGGACACCCTCCACAGGTAAACAATTTTCCGAAGAACATATAATACTTTATTTTTAATTAATCCAATATGTGTTCCTCATTTTTTTCGTTATTTTGTATTTATTGTTGATCCAATACGATTCAAGAAGTCCAGAAATATAATTTTTCTACTATTCTGATTCGTGTTGGATACTATCCTATTGCAGTCAGAAGATAATTCTCATAGTTATTCACGTTTATTAAATTTATTAACAAAAATAAATACAGAAAATGTAATTGAAGAGCGATTTCTCGTTTTTAGTGTATTTCGAAAGAAAAAATCGGAAATAAGAGAGGAGCTGGAGAGATATCGTGTCCTCGATATCGCGAGGAATACCTCGAGACAGGGAAGTCGATATTTGCTGTCTACCCTGGAGGTTGGAGTGGTGGTATTGGGGTGTGTGGTTTTCGTTGGGGCACTAGTCACTGCCCTGTGTGTCGCCTGCGTACGACGGAATAAACGGTAGGTCATAGCACTCGGTATTTTTTTTTCTTTTACTCCAGGAGATGTTATCGCAGTCGTAGGAACATTGGGGAATATCCGTTTCCATTTCAATGACTTTATTCCATTCCCCCTTCTCCTATTTTTTCCTCTTGCGTATAAGTCTCGTGGGATGTGGCCTCTAGTTGAAACGTATCGCTGTAATAAGAACTCATGATCTATTTGTTTTTGGGGATTACGAGAAATTCTATCTTCTGGGCTGTTAAAAAATTTTCACTGCATCCTCTGGGCTTTGGTATTGATCTGTCAAAGTACTGACACCATCACTGACAAACTGTTGGAATTTACTATTATTTTTTAATGGATTAATGCTTGTTTGTTCCTTTATCTTTTAACATAATTAATGGATTTGTTCTTACGTTAATTAATTTTTATAGGGGATTTAACGCCAGTGGTAACACCAGTGGTCTCCCACGCATTCTCATCCCTTAATCTAATCTACATGGCATCATGCAAATATTTAACGCACCGTTTGGCATATCAGCATAAGCGCTCGATAATTACTGACTATTTTCCTACTAACTGTTAATTCATTAATAAAATTATATCATTTTTATACAACTTCTTTGTAAAACTCAAATCTATTTCTATCTCCACTAATTTATGATTCTTTTCACATTAAATTAATTAGATTAAATAAATTAATCATTTTTTCTTATTAAATTGATGCAACTCAAGAAATATATTAATTCAATTTGAATATTATGT